GGCACCTGCCCAGTGTTTGCATGTTCTGGCTTCTGCCCTGTGGTTCGCACGGTAATCTTCTGGCAGGATACCGGTCTGGCTTCCCACCTGCGGGTCCGGCCTGTGTTCCTTGGTTGCCCACTTGTGGCCGCCTCTCTTCCTAATTTGTCTTTGCATGTGCATTCCGCGCGTTATCGCGCTAATTATCGCGCGCTGTGCCCCAGCGTCGTTCACACCGCCATCTGGACTTTTCCTTGCGGGCCGCGAATCAAAAAGTATGCCCACAAACCCCCCTTGAACTGTGGGGTGGTCTGACGGTTGGTGGTATCGCCTCGGAGTGGTTCAGCCTTCCGCGGCAGCTACAGCACCCCAGGCTCACTTCCAGCTTCCGGCAGGTTGCGTTGCACCACGTCCCGCGGCACGTCAGCCCCCCTAGCTAGCACACGTCGTCCAGGGCGTTTGGAGCCTGGCGCCCCACTGGCGACTCACTCCACCGGCCTCGCACTTGCCCCCACTCAGATTGACGGACCTGGTTGTCCTGGTTCTCGTTTCATACTGTGGCAGGCACCGATTGCGTTGGCCACTCGAATTCTGGTCATTTTGCCCAGTGCGCATGCCCGAGCATGCAGTATGGCTGCCAGTTCAGCGTCACCCAGCCTGCAGCTGCCGTCTGAGGGGGCCGGCCGACGCTCCTGCTTTAGCCAATTCGCATCGCCCGCGGCCCGGACGTTGCCTTCGCCGCCTGATGTTTGTTTCGCGGCCGCGACCAAAAAAAATATGCCCACAAACCTACTCGCTGTTGGCGCGCTCGCCTGCGGTCGCGACAAAAAATCCCAACACGCTCATCCAGAAACGATGCCCAGGGGAGTGGAGGTGATCAGGGAAGTGGGGGAGCATGCAGAAGAACAAAGGGGAGGAGGGAGGAGTAGGAGTAGGCGGATGAAGGAGAAGGAGGAGGAGGAGAAGGAGGAGGAGGAGGAGGAGGAAGAGGACAAGAAGGAGGACAAGGAGGAGGAGGAAAAGGAGGAGGAAATCATAAACTAACATCAGAGCCTCCTCGGATGTCTTTTGGGGGTTCTTTGAAGGCCTCTTGGAACGTCTGGGGGGCATCTTGGGTGCCTCGGGGATCCCCTTGAAGCCTCTTGAGAGGCTCTTGGGGGCATCTTGGGCGCCTCTTGGGGCCGTCTGGGCGCCTCCTGGGGCCCTCTTGGGGCGCTCTTGGGTGCCTTGGGAACGCTCGCCGGGCCATCTTGGAGGACATCGATCAAAAAAGGGGGGTCCTTAATTTTCCTCGCCATTCTAGGGTGCCTGGAATCGCCTCTTTGGCCCCTCTTGTGGCGCTCTGGGAGCGCTCTTTGGCGCTCTTGAGGCCGTCTTGGGGCTCTCTAAGAAGGGCCCTCTTGGAGCCATTTTGAGGCCTCGGAAGGCCAGAGGAAGCGAAAAGGCGAGAAATCAAACAACCGTGATTGATTATCCTTGGGTTTGGGAGGGGTGTTGGATTTTCGGGGCCTCCTCGGGGAGCTCTTTGGCCACTTGGAGTTGATTTGGAACGGCCTTGGGGCATCTTGGAGCACCTTGGGAGCCATCTTGGGAGCTTGGGCTCTCCGAGGCGCTCATGGAGCCATCTTGGGCCATCTTGGACGCTCGAACGTCTCGCGGGACCCCCCGTCCAGGTCCAGGGGCGGGGGTAGGGGGACAAACCCTTCTCCGAAGGGGAAGAGGACCAGAAGACAAACTACCCTAGACCACCTATGCCCTGAAGGGCTGGTGGAGAGGAGAGAGGAGAGACCAGAGAGCAGGAGTAGGAGGATGAAGAGGAGACTGAGGAGAGAGGAGACATGGAGAGAGGAGAGATGAATGCTAGGTGCGGTCGCGCAATATCTGACAGACTACCCCTTCCCGTCCTTCACTTCCCATTGCACAACTTTGCCTCTATGTACCGACGTGTGCCATAGCGAATCTGAAACTCCAAGGAGGATCCCATCGTGTTATGCGCAACCGGAATGGTGGTGGCTGCATACATTGGAAGAGGAGGTGGCGGATGAGCAGGAGTTTGCGCAGGAGGAACGGGGGAGGTTGAGGCGAGCAGTTGCAGCAGGAGCTGGATTGGAAGCACCGGGAGGAACAGGAGAATCAGGGGAAGGCTGACAAGGGACAATGAGGAGTGCGACAACGATGAACCGGACTCGGATCTAGAAACGTGGATCGCGCTGGGGCGAGAGCGCCATTCTGAACGACAGTAGTAAAGCGTCGATCCGAAAATGAGGCCCACGCTGCAGCGAAGCACACACTTTTGAAACACCCGAACCAATCGGATTGTACAGAGGGCACACATGTACAAGTTTGAAATCCCGTCGGTAAGCAATATTACGCGGAAAGGGCCGATTATCTTCAGGACAGGGTCAGGGGAGAGAGGGGAGTAGCATTCGTAATGTGAAAGTGTAGGGAAAGGAAAGGAGAACGGAGGGAGAGAGGAGGGACTGAGGAGGGAACGAGACGGAGGCGGAGGAGGAGGACGTGGCTGAGATTGGGGAGGAGGACGAGGGGAATGAGAGGTGGAGGAGCGGAGGGATGGAGGCGGGAGGAGGAGGAGGACGAGGAGGAGGAGGAGGAGGAGGAGGAGGAGGAGGAGGAGGGGGAGGAGGAGGAAGAGGGGGAGTTGGAGGAGGGGGAGAGGGAGGAGGAGGAGGAGGCGGAGGAGGAGGAGGAGGAGGAGGAGGAGGAGGAGGAGGATGGAGGAGGAGGGGGAGGGATTGGGGGAGGGGGGCGAGCTCGAGGGAGGAGGGCTGGGGGATGGGGAGGGTTGCCTTCGACACCCCTCGGCAGGACATGTGGCAGGACTGCGCGGACCACCTCTGCGACATCAGCGCCTACGGAGGCTGGCCCGAGGGGGCCCGCGAGCATGGCATCTTCGTCGGAGGCGCGCGCCGCGACTTCGCGCCCCGTCCCTCTCCCGTTCGAGAGCTCGAGGAGGAGACTGAGGAAGAGGAGGAGCTTGACGTTGAATTTGGTGGAGGTGGATCCGACTACATTTTTACTACGAGGGTCCTGGCCACTGCTCCCTGGTCGTGGATGACAGGTTCGCAGGTCAGTTGGGCGGCCGTTACTTGCTGCCCTGACTGTCCTTGTTTGCGGCAGCGTTCCGCTGGGAGCCGCCGCGCTGATGTCCCCTGCGTGTGTGCCCCCATGGCTTGCCCAGAAGAGGAGCTTCAGGTGCTTCGTCATCGTGGACAGTCTTCCTGTTCTCTCTTCCTTGCCTCTTGGTTTTGGTCCTTGTGCCCACCCCCAGCGCCAGCTGGGCGGAGGGTTGTCGAGGCATCGGGGCGACCGTCCGACAATGTCCGCAGCTCGAAGCTCCAAGGAACAGTTTTTGATTCGCGGGTCGAGAGCGCACCTCTTCCGGTCGAAGCTAAGCGGGCCGCGCGAAGCTTCAATTAACCAGAGATGGGGGAGGAAAAGGGGGGCGCAGCCTCAGAGCGAGGCCGGGAGGAGGCAACGCCTCGGAGTCAGGCGGTGCCGTAGTCGACGTACTTGCAAAGGAGCGCCTTGTCCATGAACCCGGTGGCGGAGTACCGGTCGAAGCAAAACGCTCGAAGGAACAGGAGGAGGAGGGAAAGGAGGAGGAGGAGGAGTAGGAGGAGGAGTAATACCTCCCCCCGCTATTTTCTGTTATCCTTTCCCAGGGCGCTACGCAATTCGGGATTAGGGGACGATGTTGGGGTAAACGAAGTGCATCTTGTGCGCTCGAAAAGGGCACCCATGAGGCCTAAAAAGGGCACGGAAGGTGCGCGTTTCCCCCCCGCCTCCCCCCCCACGTATCTTCGCCCCATCATTCAGCAACGACCGATTCCCCTTCTCTCTCTCTCTCTCTTGTTTGTCTCTCCCTCTCTCTCTCTCTCTCTTTCTCTTTCTCACCCTTTGTCCCACCCACCTCTCTTCCGCTGCTCTCCCTTCCCCTTCAGTGGCGGGTTTAGTTGCTAGGTGCGGTCGTCGTCCAGGCCGTTGTTGTTCGCCTTCGCGGGCTCACTGGGCCTTGTCGAGGACCTCGTCGGTCTGCCCGTCTTCGTCCTCCGCTCGCCCGAGTGGCGCAGGCTGTAGCTGCTCTTCTGTGTGCTGACGAGCCGTGCTTGGAGGAAGCCTGGCAGGAATGGAATTCAGGAGACGAGACCTTCTTCCGCCCCATGCCTGTGCCAAAACGCTGCGCCGTCCAGCAGCTCGCAAAGGGGGCCTGCTGCGCCGGGTCTTGCCGCAGGTGGACAGTACCACGATGAGGAGGAGGAGGAGGAGGAGGAGGAGGAGGAGGAGGAGGAGGAGGAGGAGGAGGAGCAACAAAAGGTTTTTGATGCAGGGGGGAGGCGGAGGAGAGGACATGTATGCTTATAACGAATGCCCGTCCCACTGTAACCAATTCCCGTCCCACTATCGGCGGGCCTGAGATGGCCCCGAAACGGGTTTGGATGGCCCCAAAGACGGCCCGATATGCCTAGCAAGTGGCTTGGGATGGTGCAAGAGCGATTCAACACTGTTTCAGAAGATCTTGCGACACTCAGGAGCATTCAACGAGAGCTCCCGAGAGGCTCCTGAATTCATTATCGCGTTATCGCCTTCACGGTCTTGGGAATGTCCGAGGCTGCTCAACATGTTCTTTGGTAACCTCAAGACGGCCCGAAAGGAACCCGCCAGGGGGCCCCAATTGGCCCTAAGATTGCACCAGAGGTACCCCAACATGCCCCAGAGTGCACCCAGTCGGCCCAAGAAAGTGCCAAGGGGGCCTCAGGACAGCTCCAAGACCCACGAGCAGGTCTCAAGGGCCCCAAGACGGCCCAAGAGGACCCCAACACCGCATACGGCCGAAGGGGTGCCAGACTCCCCGTTTCCAAGACGTCTCAAAAGGCCTTCATGTATGCCGAAGAGGGACCCATCTTGGCTCAGTCTTCTCTGAGAGTAGGCCATCGGACTGACCCCACACGAACAGACTACGTCTTAAGCAACACTCTATCGAGTTCCCTTTGCAAGTCGGAATGCCTCGGCACACGATGACAGTGTATCCAACCAGTTGCGATCGGGATTATTTTGTTCGCCTGTTCATTTGCATGAGTGCGATCGTTTGTATCAGCATGAACTTCGCTTTCGACGCCAAGGATGACCTTGATCGGGTGATGACCATCCTTCGCCAGGCCCTGCACCAGTCCCAGAGCGAAGTTGTAGTGTTTTTGCTCTTCGTCCTCACATACTTCGCTGGTTTTGCCAAAGCGAGACGGTGGTCGGTGCGTTCCAGATTCACTCCCAAGGTCATGAGCCCGAGGGCCTCTGGTAATACAACCTTTCCTAAGGTCACAGCAGGACCCACGAAGGCTACCGCCGTGAAGATCAATCTGCCGACCACGAGGAGATTTGAGGAGTCGGATGCCGACAAGCACCTCATCAAGGCGATCGACAAGGAGTGCTTGCCGACCGATGGCCCGAGGTTCTCGCAGCTAGTTTCGGCTTGTGTCAGGCTGGGCAACACAGAGGTCACGCTGCATCTGTTCGACCACATGCTCGAAAGCGGCGTCGCCTGCGACCCAGAGCTGATTGTGAAGGCTTGCCCGTAGCCGCCGACTCCTCGTGGTGCCTGTTTTGAAGGGGCCTTGAGCACTGTGGCGCGCTTGAGGGGGTTCCTTCGGTCGCCTCGAACGCCCCGAAGACTGGGCATGGCGCGCGGATCGCTTTCCGCAGATGTATGCTTCCTGGGGTCCAGAGGTTCTTGTCGGGGTGCTGGGGTGCTCTACTGGATTCCCGGACACGTTCCTGGAACCGTTTTTATTGGGTATGTGGTGTGTTGTTGGAGCATGTTGGCGCCGTTCGTGAACCCGCCCTCCTCGAGGCGCGCGCCCCTTTGTGTTGGGTGGTGTCCTGAGGTCTCTCTCTCGCGGCAGAGGCAGCCAAGCAGCGCGCAGGAGACGGACAGTCGTGTGCGCAGGCTGCGTGGGCGTCGGGCTCACGCTGCGCAGTTGGCAAGCGTAGAATCGGTTTTGTAGTTCGCCTTTGGTTTTGCTTAGGGTTTCGATGGGAAATCGAAGTTTAACTTACGGGAAAAAGGGGCCTCGTTCCTTATTTCGGGTTCCTTAGGTCGACGCCCCGGCTGTATGAGTGTTCGGGCACTTGCGGGAGGAGGCCTCCGACATTCGACGCAGTGATGGGACCGCATGTCGCGCGCTGCCACGCACGTGACGCTCTGCAGTGCGAGTCGTGTGCGCGATACCGTTGATGTTGGCATCGGGGAGATCCGACTGACGACTGCGCTGTGCTCAGGATGCGAAGGCTGAGTGCGATCACGCGAGGGAGAAGAAGGAGATCTGTCAGGAGGAGGAACACAGGCGGAGGAGGAGGAGATATGGAGAGAGGAGGGGGACGGGAACATTGGTGCGGCTTTGTGGACGTTTTTGAAGAAAGCAACACATCGTCAAGCCACAAGTCCTGGCGCGTGCTCAAGACCATCAATGGTCAGAGAGGGAACACGATCAATGGAGGGAGCTTGAGGGGAAGCCCAGAAGAAACAGGGAATCGGTGAGAAAGCTATGACGAAGTGCCTGTCTCAACGTTGTGGGGTGAGCGCGGGAAGCCGTGCTTGGAGCAGTGCAACATCTTCGCGAGGGTGTCTTGCGAGGGGTCCTGGCGCCTTTTCGTGTTTTTATTGGCTTGTCGGGGGAGTCCTGGAAAGGCTTCTTGGCAGCTGGTGGGGGCCTCCTGAAAATCTCGTGGGGGCCTCTTGGCCGCGTGTGCTTTCTGATTCCTTCTTGGGGCGTGTCCCCCCCCCCCCCTGGGCCCCTTCGGACGGGGCTAGGACGAGGATAAATATGTTCCAGAGCGATGCGGAACGCTTTCACAGCGTTCCGGAGCGCTCTGAGAAGACTGCGGCGCCCGAGACATTGCCCAGAGCCGCCGGATCTCGGAGGTTCTCGATTTATCCACACCCGAATGTATCCTCGTCTTGGCCTCGTCTTACCCCTGTTGGAGCCTTCGTGGGGTTCTCTGGGGCCGTTTGGGTGGCTCCCTGTGCCGTTTCGGAACCCCCTTGTGCCGTCGTCTGGCGTTTTCGGGGGCCTCTTGCGGGCCTCGTGGAGCGTTTCGCGAGTAGAGTGGGCCGTCTTGAGGTGATGTCTAAATGCATTGGGGCCGTCGTGGGCGCGCCCAAGATGGGAGAAAGGCAACAAGGCCAAACATATACAAGTGCTTCCACGATTCTGATAATTCGGGTTCCTGTGGGCCATGTTGAGCGTCCTCTGGGAACTCTCTTGTGCCGTTCGGAGCCTTTTTGGACCATCCCTAGGCCATGTTGGGACCATCCTGGAAGCGTGCGAAGGCCTGCGTGGCTCTTTTACGGCGGCCTGGGCCGTCCTGGGGGCCTCGGGGGCAGCCTGGGAGGCCCAGGAGGCGCCCCGGGGAGCCTGGCCTGCCCCCTGGGTGCGCTCAGCCGCGGGCCATCCCGGGCCAGTGGAGGAGGATCAAGCGCGCAATTTGTGACCCGGAGGGGGGTCTCCGGCGGCGAACGAGGGGGGGGGGAAGTGCGAAGGAGAAGGCCCGCTCAGAAGGCGGCGGGGCTTCTCCGGAGCCCTTGCGCCTTCTGAGAAGTTTTTCTGTGTCACTTCCCAGGAGGCCGGGGGGCGTCCGAGCCTTCTGAGAAGGCCCGCCCCTTCCCACGTCCCCCCCAGGCTCGCCGCCGAGTTATGGGGGTGGAGAGAGTGCACGCCCGGAGACCCGCAAGGGGTCGGCAGATTCGCTGCGGCACTGCAGGCAAGTTCTTCAAGCTCGTGGCGGCGAGCTTCGACGACGCACGCATGCGGGCCTGTGGGGTCCAGCTCATGCGAACGATTGAGGCCCACGGGCTCTGGCCCACGAACGAGGTCCAGAACCAGCTCATCCGCTCCTGGAAGAGCAAGCTTCCGGGCCATGTCGTGGAGGTCTTCGTCAGCATGCGCGAGAGGGGGCTGCAACTCAGCGCGACCGCGTACCGCTGCGTCATGGCCGCGCACGAGCGGGACCAGCCGGTGTTCACGCTTCGGCTCTACGACGAGATGCTGCAGCGGGGCATGAAGGTCGACCGCGTTGCGTTCAACGCGGTGTTGTGCGCTTGCTCGCACCTCGGCATGAGCAGCCAGGCCCTGGTGTTGTTCGAGCAGATGCCCAAGTTCGGGCTTGTTCCCAACGGGAAAACATACGGCACTCTCATCAGGGTCTGCACCCGCGCTGGCAAGCTAGATGAGGCCTTGGAGCTCCTCGAGTCCATGCGGGCGGCGGGTATCGAGCCCAACCGCTTCGCCTTCCGCGACGCCATCCATTGCTGTGTCAAGCTCAAGAAATTCGACGAGGCCTACGAGCTGTATCAGGACCTCGTCGAAGCCAGCGCAATCCCTTGCAACAACACTTGCATGTACATCATGGAAGCGTGCCTCAAGAACGCCTGCTTGTCGGTCGCGGAACGCATCCAGGCGGACATGGGGACCATGGGGCAGAACGGTGTGTTTCGGGTCGAGATAGTCAAGGACTCCGCTGATGCAGTCGACTCAGATACTGAGTAGGTGTTGACCTATCTATTTTCTCCTTTTGCACCACACTGCCGCTCCACCTCGTTTGCTTTGGTCGCCCAGGCAATGGTCATTGGGACTTGGTGTGGTAGCGCTTCGAGAGCGACGAATTGCCAGCGTCAGACGCGGTGTTGAGGGTAGGATTTGCCACCCCACCTCGTGTCTTCGCGACGTGCTACCCCCACCCCATCTCTTACATTGCATGTTCGGGGGACCTCCTCTTTCTAACATATTGCTGCCCTCTCTTGTATCCGAGCTCGCGCCCTGCCATAACAATGATTCCTCTTCGCTTCGCGGTGTCCACGTCTGGAGCATGTTTGGACTGGTCGTTGGTTGGTTTACCCTGCTCGTTTGCCGCGCTGTCCTGCCGTGTTGTTCTGCCCGCCGGCGCTGCCAGCGCCACGGGGAGCGGATGCGCCGCCTCTCCGTTTCAGCGCTGGGGCGAGCGTGCGATTGTCCACGAAGGCAATGGACATTCACCTCGTGTCAGCACAAGGCAACGCCAAGTTCGAACTGCGATGAGCATAGCAACGACGTGCCACTCTTGTAGTATTCCTCGTGCCTCTTGGTGGTTTTTTGGGGCCGTTTGGGGACCTCTTGGGGGCCCCTTGGGGCCTCTTGGGGGCCTCTTTGGGGCCTTTTGATGGGCTCTTTGGGGCCTCTGTGGGCCTTTCGAGGGCCTCTTGGGCCATCTTCGGACGCTCTTTGACATCGGCTGGCCCCTTCGGAGGCCGTCTTGGGGGCCTCTTGGGGCCACCTAGTGGCTCTCTTGAGGTCCTCTTGGGCCGTCATGGGGTTGTAGGGCAGATTCGGGCGTCCAGGATTGAAAACCGCAGAAGGCTCCCTGAGAACCCAGCCGCCCAACACGCCTTGTTTACTTCAATGGTTGTTGCAACCCTGCAGCGGGAACCAAGACGAGGCTCCAGTGTTACAGCGCTCGTGGGACAGTAAGCGCAGCATGATAGATCATCTCGTGGATATGGCAACTTGTTGTTCACTGGTCTCAAACATATTAGTGCAGAGTTCCGGTAGCGGAAGTGGTCGTTGTCATTGGTCATTGTTGTCATGGCCCCGTCCGGTCCAGAGACGGATCGACAAATTGCGAGTGCGTTCTTTTGGTGTGTGGACCGTGTCGCACGCACCTACCTATAATATAAGCGGCGTCCGGGGCCTCGCGGCCCAGGGTCGCACACTTTTCCCAAACTCCCTCCCCCCACACTTTTCGGGGCATCCAGGGGCCCGTTTTCGGAGTCCTGGAATTTTTTCCGCTTCCCCGAGGCGTCCACCCACTTAGGCTTTTGGAGACGGCAAGAGGCCGCCAAGACGGCCCAAGAGCGCTCCAAGCCGCCCGAGATGGCCGCATGATCGGCCCAAGAGGCTCCCAAGATGCCCCAAGGTTGCTCCGCGAGGACCTCCAAGAGAGCCCCATGACGCCACAATCATTGATTTTCATTTTGTGCTTCCAATATTTGTTGCTTCTCACGTTCTCGAGTGGCCGACACTCCAAGACTGCCAACGAAGCCTCCAACGTCGCCTCAAGAGGCCCCCAAGAGGCCCCCAAGACAGCCCAATAGGGCCGCATGATCGGCCCAAGAGGCCCCCAAGACGGCCCAAGAAGGCCTGAAGAGGGCCTGAAGACGACTCCAAGATGGGCCCAAGAGAGGGAACGCGAACCGACCTTTCGAGTTTTCCCGCCCCTCGAGACCCCCAGGAGGCCCCAAGAGGCCCCCAAGTGGCTCCAAGAGGGTTCAGAAGAGGCCCCAAAGATGCTAAAGAGAGGTCCGACAAGCTCCACACCGCTCCCGTGGACAAACCTGCTTCCAAAAGGCCCCCCGAGAGGCATCCCACGATATCATCCCAGCGAACATCCGAGAAGCTTCTAACCCACAACCCAGACACGGTTGCGGGATGGGCCCAGAATTGCGACCTTTGGTTCGCATGGGGGGCTGGGGGGGCCTTGAGGGCTCCAAGAGGGTTCAGAAGTGGCCCCGGACCCATCCAGAGTTTCCCAAGCTGGCCCAAGATATTCCCAGGAGGCTCCAGAGAGAAAATGCCCGAACAGAGGCGCCCTCTGCCGCAAGAGGCCCCGAGGAGGCCCGAACAGACTCCCAGGAGGCCTCCACGACGCCTCAAAAAGCTACCAAAATGGCTCCTCAGAGAACCGAGAAGCTCCCGAGAAACCCCCACCGAGCTCGCAGGAGGCCTCTACACAGACCCTCAGGAGCCAGCCAGAGGCCCCCTTCGTCCTCCATGTTCCAGAGCAGCCCTTCGGAACACGTGGCCCTGGCTGCACCTCCCGACCCGCCCAACCAATGTCGAGGCCCGAGGACGCCCCCATGACGCCCGCAAGACGGTCCAGAAACGCCTCTCCCGCACACGTGGATCAGGTGACAATGATGCTGATCGTCGGTGGTCCGTCTTCGTCGTCGTCGTCGGTCGTCGCTGGTACGCTACATGCCACACCCTTCCTTGAACTTTGCAGTATCCACCCGAAAAACAAGCATGGGTGAAAGGGAGGAACCCAGAAGACCACATGGAAAAGGTCCCATGGAAATTGACACCGTCTTCGGAGTCGACTAGAACCTAAGCGCGCGCGAAGCGCGCACGTGGTTCTAGTACATAATATAAACGGCGTCCGGGGCCCCGCGGCCCAGGGTCGCACACTTTTCCCAAACTCCCCCCCCTAACCGAATTTCCCGCTTTCGGCATCCAGGGGGCCTTTTTTGGCATCCAGGGGCCCGCTTTCGGAGTCCCGGAACTTTTTTCCGCTTCCCCGAGGCGTCCATTTAGGCTTCTGGAGACGGCAAGAAGCCGCCAAGACGGCCCAAGAGCGCTCCAAGCCGCCCAAGATGGCCGCATGATCGGCCAAAGAGGCTGCCAAGGTGCCCCGAGGTCGCTCCGAGAGGACCTCCAAGAGAGCCCCATGACGCCAAAATCATTGATTTTCATTATGTGCTTCCAATCTTTGTTGCTTCTCACGTTTTCGAGCGGCCGACACTCCAAAACTGCCCAAGAAGCCTCCGACGTCGCCCCAAGAGGCCCCCAAGAGGCCCCCAAGACAGCCCAATAGGGCCGCATGATCGGCCCAAGAGGCCCCCAAGACGGCCCAAGAAGGCCTGAAGAGGGCCTGAAGACGGCTCCAAGATGGGCCCAAGAGAGGGAACGCGAACCGACCTTTCGAGTTTCCCGCCCCCCGAGACCCCCAGGAGGCCCCAAGAGGCCCCCAAGTGGCTCCAAGAGGCTCCAAAGAGGCCCAAAAGATGCTAAAGAGAGGTCCGACAAGCTCCACAACGCCCCCGTCGAGGCTTCAAACCTGCTTCCAAAAGGCCCCGAGAGGCATCCCACGATATCATCCCAGCGAACGTCCGAGAAGCCTCTAACCCACAACCCAGACACGGTTGCGGGATGGGCCCAGAATTGCGACTTTTGGTTCGCATGGGGGGCTGGGGGGGCCTTGAGGGCTCCAAGAGGGTTCAGAAGGGGCCCCGGACCCGTCCAGAGGCTCCCAAGCTGGCCCAAGATATTCCCAGGAGGCTCCAGAAAGCCCGCCAAATGCCCGAACAGAGGCGCCCTCTGCCCCAAGAGGCCCCCGGGAGGCCCCAAGAGACTGCCAGGAGGCCTCCACGACGCCCCAACAAGCCACCAAAAAGGCTCCAGAAAGACCACCGAGCTCGCAGGAGGCCTCTACACAGACCCTCAGAAGCCCGCCAGAAGCCCTTCGTCCTCCATGTTCCGGAAAAGCCCTTCGGAACACGTTCCCCTGGCTGCACCCCCCGACCCGCCCAACCAATGTCGAGGCCCGAGGACGCCCCCATGACGCCCGCAAGACGCTCCGGAAACGCCTCTGCCGCACACGTGGATCAGGTGACAATGATGCTGATCGTCGGTGGTCCGTCGTCGTCGTCGTCGGTCGTCGCTGGTACGCTACATGCCAAACCCTTCCTTGAACTTCTCAGTATCCGCCCGAAAATCACGCATGGGTGAAAGGGAGGAACCCGGAAGACCACACGGGAAAGGTCCCATGGTAATTGACACCGTCTTCGGAGTCGACTAGAATCTGAGCGCGCGCGAAGCTCGCGCGTGGTTCTAGTACATGTAAACGCGCAGACGCTTCCCGAAGTCACCGCGCGTTCTTCCAGGGATGTTGTCACGTAGTATGGATGCGCGTGTTAGTTGTATTTGGGGTTTGGGGGGTAGCGATGCGGGCACCATCGCCCGATTTCGGACGATATTGGCGCGCCGCCTGGTCGCTCCCTGGAACTCATGGTGGGCCGTATTGTACGTTGTTGAACGAGTTTGCATCGCACAGTTCCGTTTCAGCCCTGCTCCATAGTCTTTCTGGCTCATGGACTTGGCCCTGCGTAGCTTGCAGGCCGTTGCTCCGTGGGCCCCCCTCCTTTCAGTTGCACGCTGTCCCGACTGCCATTGCGTCGCGGATTGCCAGGTCAGCAGCGATATCGTGAATTTGCTGGGACGCCAGCTGGAGCGCTGCGGTCCAGAGCAGCTCACTTGCCCTGCGTGCCCGAGCTGTCCGTTGCTGCAGTGCCCCGAGCCGTCGTTCGCGCTGGGCACCTTCATTGTGGGGCTGCTCGCAGGTGTGCTCTCGGCAGCGACCGCTGGGTTCTTGTGGAAGAAGTCCGCACGGGCGCCGAGACTAGGATTGGATGGCGGCCCGCAGCCCAGCAGAACGCACGCTGCGCTGCCTGCAGAGCCTGCAGGTGGGGTCGAGGGCCCTCGCCTACTACGACCCGCGCGATGACTACTGGCATGAGAGGATCATGCTGGCGCACATTCAGGACTTCCGCTTCGTGGTGCTCACCGCGGACTGGGACATCTATGATGAAGATATGTCCCAGGCGCTCCGCCTGGTGCCGCTGGGTCCACGGGGCGGCCTTCCCGTGCCGAGGCCACAGGGGCACATCCTGCGGGTGGACAACGCTCGCCTCAGCGCCGAGTTGCAGCAGCTGTGCGACGAGGCGGCGCAGATGGCCTTG